TTTTTTTCGACAATTTCAGGAATTCTGTAGTTAGAATTGTACAGCTTCTGCCAAAAAGTGTCTAAATAACTGCTAGAACTTAGTCAAGAGCGTCTATGAACTATAACGCAAGTGCTTTCAAGTGGTTATACAATGTCAAGAGTGAGAACTTGAAAACTATTACAGCAGGATCTATGAACAACTTTCGTAGCTACATAAGTGGAGCTTTGTTTAAAGATAGCACGAGTAAGAATTCTAACTCCAGAAACTATAAAAAATTCAAATTGAGTGTTTTCAAACGACTACTGAGACTTAGTAAATTTGAGAACTGTTTTTGTAGGGACAAAATTTAAGTATTCAACTTCAACTGAGTGCCTATAGTCTTTATTTATTGAATGGTCTAAAAGGAAATAGACTTTCCGAAGTTTTCATTATTTCGCTAATTACTCAAAAGTCAATAAAAACTCAAAAATAAAGCTGAGGTTAAACCTGAAAATTTTACCTCAAAACTGAATGAAAAGGGGCCATCTAGAGGCAGTCTTTGGAACTATAGGCTTAAGAGTTATCCAGGAAGAGCTTCTCAGACCTTAACAGGAATATAAGTCTAAAAATTTTACTAGTAATCGCAGACATTTCTGGAAAGTAGTAAGCTTCTCGCCTTAAGGAAACTCCAGTGAAAGTTTAAATTAAATATCCGCACATTTCGGTTATTTTTCGACGAAACCCTTAATAATAACTGCTTTGGGATTGTTCCCCCGGTCAGTTACCCACTTTTTTGGTTTATTTTTTAAATAATTCTATCTTTATAACTGTTATTAATAAATTTGACAGCTGTCAACTTGGACATTTTTAAAATATTTATATATATGGTAAGTAACTTACTCCTGCCACTCGCATCGATTGCATTGCCCATCTCCACAGCAACATTGTTGCCACCACCGCCACCACTGGCAGCGCCACCAGCACCACTTCCGCCCTGTCCCAGCACTACGCTTGGCAGTAAATCGATTTGCTGCGCACGCGGCGTACGCATATCACGATAGTCGCTGACCAATTCATCGCGTTCGCCGCGCAAACACGAAGCCAAACCGCGCGACGAGGTGCGCCGATCGCCGCGCTCCTTCTCCAACGAACGACAATACAGGTGTGTGGTGCGCTGCAGTGATTGCGTTTTCGAAGTGCTGCCGCTATTGTTGCCGTGGCTGCCGCTACCGCTGCCACCGGCGACATCCGGTGTAGCGTGCAGCAACGGTGGCGGAGGCGGTGGCAACACCAGTTCGTTGTGCAAAATTTGCATTGTTGGTTGGTGTTTGTCTTCCGGTGGCGATATTGCAACGCAATTCATTTTGGTATTTTGTTTGGTTGTTGCTTGGTAAGTTGACTAAATTCCTTTTTTTCAATTATTTAGCATTAGTTTCCTCTGTGTTTATTAATTAGTGCGCATGTTTTTTATATTAGTAATTGGTTTCATTTAGCGTAATCTCTAGTTATATTTGTTTTTGGTTACGTTGAACGTGTTTGTTTTTTCGTGCTTTTAAAATAAATTCAATTTTTAATACTTTTTTTGCTACGCGTTTTGTGTCAGCGCCTTCGTGAAATGATTTCATTAGTAGTACCGTTATATTTTCCGATAGCAGCATACCATAAATAGCACTCTTATGACTAATTTCACATTTGCGTTAATATTTTTTTGGTAACAATTTGCTGTAAAGTAGAAAAAAATTTATTTAGTTACATGCCTAGTTTGAAAAAAGTTGGAATCTGTACCCAAAATTGGCGCGGTAGGATGACAATTGCAATTTTATGAAGCTGTTACTTCTCAGGAATACAATGGCTTTTGTATGCGTTAACCTTGAAAACAACTACCCATAAAATAAAATATTCAACAAAGTTCTGATGAGACCATTTCTTTTGAAGACGTCCCGTGCGAATGCCTTAAAAACTGTCGAGCTTGGAGGTTTAGATTCCTTAGTGGAAATTGCAGACTATGTCCAGCCGGTTAATGTTCTCTCGTAGACCAAAATCTGATATCATCACCCCCAAAGAAATACGATACGATTTCCCACATTTAAGACCACGTTGTCCTTACCAACATTAAAGACAAAGTGAGAGGAACATGCATGTATGTATTTCGTTCAGTGAAACATCCAGGCAATAGGCGCCAGAACAAACTTACTTAGCCAATTCAACTTTTAAAGCTCATTTTAATATCAACTCAAAAACGATTTATGCTGAGGTAAGATTCGAGAACTGTTACGAGATATTATTTTGAGAACTTTCGACAATTTCTCAAGACTATTTAAGAACTATAACTGAATTCATTCCAAACGGCTTCAGGAACTCTGTAGGAAGAGTATCTGATAACTACAACTGGAATGATTCCAAACTACTTCAGGAACTCAGTAAGGAAAATTCGATAACTCCATTACTGAAGTGTCTTTACATTATTTTAGGAACTCTTCGAAATCTTGCTGGTCAAGACTTAAGCGACTTCTTGAACTTAACCAAATGTATGTACTTATTATTCAACATTTCTCTTATTGAAGTCCATTGCCGAGGTGGTAAAGACCATTCCTTCAAAACCCGCTTCTTCGGCGTCAAAATTGTACTTAAGAATAGTAAATACAGGATGGAAGAGAAAGATATATCGCACATTTGCTGCAAGAGTGTAAAAATTGGTTGTATTCATTTTGTGACTATGTCGACGGCTGAGTTGAAGATCGGCCTATTTTGGCAACCAGTTCGAAAATGCGCTGTCACGGAAAACTTTTCAAGAATGCCGTATTTCAAAATTTGGCTGAAGAACGACCTATCTTACCTGAAAATATAGTATATTGAAATTTTTTTTTAATGGGCAGCTCAGATAGGGCGCTTTTGAACCGACTTCTGAAATATAGCGTTCTTGAAAAGCTTTCTAAGAATCTTAGGGCATTTTCGAAGTGGCTGCCGAGATAGATCGATATTCCGCTCTGCTGTCGATATGTAAATTCAAAACTTTAACGCCGCTTTTATCGAGTTTTTTGATTTTTTGGGGTACAGCGCTTTGCAGCAAGTGTGCGATAGGTATTTGATATCGAATCGAAACACTAAAACGGTGAGCCTTGGCTGCTGCGTCTAGGTAGGACCGAAAACGGTTAGCCTTTGGCACCCTTTCGACCTTAAAAGATTTATGAGGTGGCATGGCTGCTTTCAGAAATTAGTAAGGAAAACCCAATCGAATACATTACGGTAAATGCCAGTCGTATCGAATCTAAAAATAAGGATAAATACATCGCTCTCAGTAACAGTAGTTTGAACTTGAATACAGGTATCAGGTGATAGATTTGTTTATATTAGGAAGATCTTTTCAAGGAATNGATGTCAGTCGTATCGAATCGAAAAATAAGGATAAATACATCGCTCTCAGTAACAGTAGTTTGAACTTGAATACAGGTATCAGGTGATAGATTTGTTTATATTAGGAAGATCTTTTCAAGGAATAGATAGTTGTCCATCGTGAGTACCCTCCGCCAGCGCCGGGAAGAGACACATCGATTCGAAAAAAGGGCTTATAGGTACAGTGAAGGACCTCTTGCTGACGCAACCGTTTTTTTGAACTGGAATATGTATCGGAATCTTCGAACCTAGAAATCAGGTNAGCTTATAAGTACAGTAAAGGACCTCTTGCTGACGCAACCGTTTTTTTGAACTGGAATATGTATCGGAATCTTCGAACCTAGAAATCAGGTGTTAGATCAGGTTAGGTTCGGACAACGAGTATAGAAAGTCCCCACAATTTATCTGGGACGATTAGTGAGTAACCTCTGTAAATACCTGGATATATTTTTTTATTGTCAAACTTATACAATTATATCTAACCCGCAGAGCACCCCTCCGCTATCCCTCACAAGCAAGCAAAAAAGCGAGGCCTCAAATACTTAAGTCGCTTACTTTGATTGGCGACCAAACCATTGTGTCCAGTTTTAAAATTTTTAAAATATTACAATAAGTTGTGTAATTACCAAAAATTTTTAACTAACAAAATTATACGAGTTACTAATTTTTTAGTTACGAAAATTTTATTTTTTTGAAACTTCCAAAACTATTATAGCAAGTTTCAAAATGTTTTTTTTTTTTTTNAAGTTGTGTAATTACCAAAAATTTTTAACTAACAAAATTATACGAGTTACTAATTTTTTAGTTACGAAAATTTAATTTTTTTGAAACTTCCAAAACTATTATAGCAAGTTTCAAAATGTTTTTTTTTTTTGAGTTAACAGAAAACTACTTATATCAAATTTTTCAATAGCCAAAAATTCGTATCAAAAATTTATGTAAAAAAAAATTCTTGCAGGTTTTGAGCATCCGCAAACTCGTGGCCAATTTTTGATTGCTAACAATTTTAGTTCGCCAAAAATCTATGTTCAATTTTTGAATATACATATCTATGTTTTAAGCTAACAAAAAATATATATGTAGATCCAAATTTTAAATAGCCAAATATTTATATGAAGGTATTAGATTACCAAAAATGTATGTCCAACTCTCAAATTAAAACAAAAATGTTAAAATTTTGATTTTCAAATAACGCGAATAGATTGCTAAAAAAAATATAAATTTTGAATTACCGAAATTTGATGTCCACTTTACAGTTTACCAAAAATGTATCTCACTGCGAAGTACCAAACATTTATGTGCAGTTTTTTTATTGCCAAACTGTATGTCCAATTTTTAGATTGCTGAAAAAAATTTTCCAATCTTTCAATTACCAAAAATTTATATCCAGTTTTTACTAAAAATAATAAAAATAAATGTCCGGAATTTAGGTCGCCCACTTTTGATTACGAAAAATGTATCTCTCCCAATTACCACAATTGTAAGCTCAGTTTTTACTTTCAAGCATTTATAAATATATGAATTCAATTTACTTTTTGTCAAATAATTTTTGATGACTAAGCTCGCATAATCCCAATAAATACATATACATATTCCACTTTTTATATTGTGGCTGCCTTTGCAGTTTATACCATTTTGGTTAGTTTTACCAAAACTTTTTCTGACTAAGCATAATTTCGATTTGCCTAAAAAAGAGCTTCAGCCCATAACCGGTCGATGTAGAGCACTCGGAAATTACTAAATCATGAGGGAAGAACAACAAAAACATATGTTATAGCGAATAAGCTACTAAAGTCGGTACATAAATAATAACGCATGAAAAATATGTTGACAGAATTTGTATGTGGGTGCTTAACAACATGACATAAGCACAAAAATAACCAAAAATTAGAGAATTATCTATTAAATATAATTTGTTGAGCGACTGAAGCACTTGCTGAAAAATTTAAGGAAATTAGGCAAGCAGCGAAAACTATTTTCAACGCGCGGCTGTGCCGCAAAAATAAACTAAAAAGATTATTTTTTTGCTTCTTTTTCTCTTTACTCATATCACTAAATTAAAATTCATACTTTTTTGAATATTTCTTTTTGTTATTTTTAATTCACTCATAAGCCTTTACAAAGCAATTTTCTTCGTTAACCCTCAGTGATATTTTCTATACTATATAAAAGCCACTACATTTTCAAGTTCAATACCCCAGCGCTCATAAATATCAAAAAATGGCCTCCATGCGCGTCACGTACTTANCACTCAAGTTCAGGGCGCATTTTCTTCTTTATCCCACCAAGTTGTCTTTTTGGCAAAAGTACGAAAATACTTTGGTTTGATATATATGTACGTCGTCTCGGCGGCGGTACGAGTACATTTGTAGATACTTTAGCTGTTGCCACCTTTAGCACATTTAAGTAGCGTTGTGCAACAAGTAATGGCGACATGGCAAGCAAACGAGCGCATGAATTTTCCCGCAAGCAAGCAAGTGTGAATTTTTTCAGGAAAAAAAAAATCACCACTACATAATTTCCAACATACATATAACCAAATTAAGTTTTTATTTTGATTCATTTTTCTACGCTGAGGCAATGAATGCTAAAGCATGAAAATTGTTCACACATGACGCTGGCGCTCTGCCGCTAAAGTAGCCAGATATGAAGTCAATGACAAAATTAGCCAGTGTAGTTGGACGAACGTAGCGGAGGAGTTGAAAGAGGCAGCGAAGTATTCGAGTTGAAAGTGATTAAAGGGCGCAGTAAAATTTCTGGTTGCTATATTTTGTTGGAGTGGAAATGGTGAAAAATACTAGTTTTGGTTTTGATGGCATACATATGTACTTATATAAGTACATTCGCTTATATTCGTTTCCTCAGAAACCTTAAATAAAAACTTTCAATAAACGGCTACTAGGAGGAGCGACTAGAAAAACCACAGAGGTAATAAGTTCTTTTACATGGTGTCAAACGGGTACAGCTATCTACACTCCGAGACTCTTGAATTCTATATCCCTGTTAAAATGGAGTTGAGAATTCCAGTAATCCCGGAATAAGTAACATTAACAGGGCAGAGCTGCTATTCTCAACGCGAAGTTCCAGAATTATCAGCTATCGGGAATGATTTTAGGCTCTACAATCACATTTTTGAGCACCTAACACAGCAACAGC